TTTACAGTATCTTTTATCAAATTAATTAATACGATAATGATGCAGAAAGAAAAGAAAAAGGGCTATTAATTTAGGTTTAATCCTTTCGCTAACAAATAATTAATTGGAAATTATTTTTAGTCCCTTTAAAAAAAAAACAAAACACAATCAATTTATTTTAGCTTTGATTAATTTTTTTCCAAATTATTTAAATTCAATAATTTTGGATGGGAAAATTACTGAAAGACAAGGACAAGAGACAGCAAAAAAAAACAAAAAATGAAATTTAGCAAAGAAAAATAAAAGATTCTTATGTTGACATTTATTTTTGTAGTAAATTTTTAATCAAATAAATTGAAATAATAATAAAAAAAATAAATTATCGATTTATCGCTAAGTATTTGATTATGATAAAAAAGTATTGTTATTATGTTATGATGGTAGCCTTAATTTTAAAAAACGATAAAATCATCTCAGGAATCTTTTTATCCTTTCAATATAACTTTCACTGAACTCATTTATAAATTTAAAAAATTTCAATTAAATGTTTGTTTGCTGATTAAGTAATTTATTAACTTAAAATAAAAAAAAGGAAAAAGGTGATAATGAATGTTAAACAAAATAATACGGACAAAGTTAACAAAATCACAATTTAAAAATTACATTTAAAAAAAAGCAACCAATCTAATTGTGTCATCTTATTAATTGAAATATTTTGACTTAAGTAACTAAATGTGGCAATGATAATATGATAATGCTGCTATCTTCACTGCTATTTACTAATTTATTTTTATACATAATTAATTCTATATAATAATAAATCTTATTTATTATAGTTAATTTAATTTATTTATTTTCCTAAACATACATATATACTTTTTTCCTGTTGTTTTATTCATATATTTGGCTTACCTTCTTAAAATTACTTATTTAGTTATTTGTTTTATTATTAACTAACTTACTTTTTTTCTGCTATCCAACCTACTACTTATTCAGTTACATTTTTATGTTTCAAAATGAAAGTTTTCTTGATATTAAAATTTTAATTAATTAACAAAAATATGAACAAAGGAAGAAATGACGAAAACAAAAGAGGAAAATGTGTAAAATTTATCAGCTAAACATTAGAAGTAAAAAGAAAAGAGACTGAAGTAAACGGGATGAAATGTACAGGCACAGGCAATTTTATATATGATTGTCGAAGAGGTGAGGATGTACTTGAAGCTTGAAGTTGAACCTGAATTGTCATCTCGAGACTTTTCATAAATGACACTTGTGGAGAATACTTTTCACATCCTTTTTGCCTTCTATCATCTTCCCCCTCTCCCCCGCCTCCCCGAAAAACACGGTGGAAAATGTTGAAGTAGGAGAACCTATAAGCAGCTTCTTCAAGCCTACTCAAAAAAAAAAAAGGAAAAACCCCGAAGTACCGTGTAAGTGAGAACTTTCATCAACTATTCTCATTCATCCATCTATTATTCAGAATGTGATCTATTTTACCTGAATATATCAGCTTGTTATTTATCTTTAACTGATAATGCTGATAGCATTAAAAAGAGAACTGATATCAGTTGATATACAAAAGATATTATTTTGTAAGTGTATAAAGGTTTAATTAATGTTTTATAACAAAAAGAATAAAAAAAAAAATCCCGTAGAATTTCTCGAGAATGTCCACTTTTCTTAGATACATATATTTAGCGCGGTACTTTTGATCTGTAATATTTATGTAACATTCATTACATTCTAATTTCCTATTATTTTACTAAATTCAGTTATTGATTATTTGGATTTTTTCTATTTTCGATTATACAAGTTTGTTAATCACTCTATTTGCTGGAATTTTTCATTCTTTCTCTCTTTTTTTTAATGAAGAAAAAGGGATGGAAATTAAAGAAAAAAAAAATTAGAAAATGTGAATAAAAATTTGGAAAAAAAATATTTAATTGTTTATATATTTTATAACAATATACTTCAAATTACCATAAAACATGAAGAAATTTTTTTTCGTTCTCATCCAGCAATTAATTTAATTTAAGCAGCAATAGCACCAATTAATTTTTGAATCGAACTAAACATAACTTTTTTCAATTCTTTGAAATTTTTGAATAAAATATAACATTCTGAAGTAACTAATTTTCAAATTGAACTAAATGTAACTTTTTTTACCCTAAATTAAATATAACTTTTCTGAATCTCGAACTAAAATACGACCCATACCTTGAATTCAATTGATTTTTAAATTGACCAAATTCCAAGTACCAATGATATTTATGAATGCTTAATTATTATACGATTAAAATTTAATTACCTGAAAGTTAAAGTTTAATTATTTATCCAAATTAAATAATAAATATCCTAAGTTGAACTTTTTAATTTGCATATAATATTATCTCTCCTCTTTAGACAATACGTTTACTAACCAGGGACAAGTAAATTAATCTCGTAAAAACTATTGACCTTAATGATTGACACACCAATTAAGCCGAAAATCTAACAAACATTCATGATGGTTGCTACTTTTTTTTTTTTCCGGTTGATAGTTGAATTTGACCAATAATCAAATGACCAATGTTTGTTTATGTGTGTATGTATGTGCATAAGTAAACTTAAGTTGAAAAAGTAAAACATAAATAAGTTATACTTAGTAACCTAACCTTATAGTTTTAGATTAACTTCATGTTTATGGAATATGAAGAGATGAAATTTGTTGGATGAGAAAAAGAAATATTTTTGATCATGTTACAAGTTTGGATAGAGTAAGAATGTATCAAATTACTTAAAATGTGATTGGAAAAAGATGTGAAACTAAGGTGACACTTCAAGTTCTAACTCAAGGACTTGAGTTGTTGTTGTCGAGAAGTTTTTGTGTAAACATATAAGAAGGCTACTCTCATCATGACAAGTATCATCATATTTAAACCGATATCGTCAAACTAAAGAAAAGAATGAATAACAAGAGAAAGAAGTTAAGGGATAATTTATTACTAGGATTTGATAATTATGATTGTCATAAATGTAAAATAATTGTTCCGAAATTGTTTTAATAAACAAAATTTAAGTATTATTGTCATTCTTTTTTTTAAAAAAATCCAAAACATAAAAAATATTTGAAAACATTAAAAATTTGAAAAAGAAAAACAGATTAACATAAAAATAATGTATAACAGTAAACAAATTCTTTTTTTTTTTAAAAAAAACGGTCATGAGAAAGTTACAATAAAAAAATCTGATAATTTTTCAAGAAAAAAAAAGAAAGAATTCCTTTAAATAAAATAACATGAAACTATTACAACAGATTACAAAAATTAAAATAAAAAAGAAGAAAGATCAATGGAATGTTTCCTATTGTAGATGTAACAGATGAGCTGAAGTAGGATGATAATAAAAAATAAAAAAAGAAAATTAAAAATACCTCGTTATTTTCTTTTTTTTTTTAAAGAAAGGCAACCAAATGAAATAAGACAATTATAACTTTGTAATGCATAATTACCAATTACCAGTTCATTTCTTTGATTTTAATCAAAAAAACAAACTAATACCAAATTTTAGTTTGGCATAGATTTAATGTAACAATATTTCTAAGTTATAATCATAATGAAATAAACAAAACCTAGGATAAATAAAAAAATTACTTAGGCTATACCATATGCATGTGTTATGAATTTAATGAAATTTTTACATTAAAAACAATGGCAGTAATGAAATTTCAGAGAAATTGGCTAATTTTTAAATATCATTAATGTAGAAGTACTATGGAAAGTGGATAGCATAACCTTTTGTAAAGATATTATCTAAAAACTTGCTTACTTCAACAAATTGTGATCGCAAAGAATAAAGCCTAGGATGAATGAAAAAATTATACTTAAGAATCAAAATTAAAAAATTCAGCGATACGAATAATATTCTAAGTTGCTCCTATTCTTTGTCCTAAGCTCATTAAGTAAAAGAAGCTCTAACCATAGGAATATTCTAAATTGAGACTCAATACCTTTAGCAGTCATAATTATCACAGTTACTTCTGCAACATGTCATTGATAGATGGTATCACTAAAATCAAACTGGTAACTGGT